AATCTTAAGGGCTTCTATTTATTGGTTCAATATTCAACCCGTCGCAATGTAACAATTTATAGGGCTTGTAATATCCTTTTAGACATAAATATGAGAAACACAGGTGAAAAAAAAAATGATTATTTATATTGAAGAATATATTAATTACATAATATTAACAAAGTAAATGAGTAAATTTTAAAATTGTCTTGCAAAAATGGTATTATTTCTTTAAAATACAAATGAGTATCTTTATTTTTTGTCCAAGAGAATAGGATCGTTATCGTATGACTGAAGAAGAAAGATATAATTAAAAGTTCACGTAGACACCGACTGTGAACTTTCCGTTAGGTTATGTTTAGTGGTACGTATTATATTAAAAAAAAAAAGAAAAAACAGCAAACAGATAGGAAAAAAATTTAATTTCCTGTTACTCTACCGAGGTGAAACGTGATTGTATCATCGAGGGTCGAGTGGAAGAAAATTTCATTTCCCCTCGTAAAACTCGGCCGAGGAAGAAAAAAAAAGAAAAAAGAGGAAGAAGAAGAAGAAGAAGAAATATGCTTATGTACACTCCGGAAGAAACAGGTATACTTGAAAGTTCTTGGAACGAAACTTGAGAGAGTCGGCCGTCGCCGGCGCATTCAGTGTACTTTTAAAACTACGATACTGTGCACTTTACACAAAAATTCTTATGAAATAGAATTAAAAGTCGAGTACTTCGACCGTCATTATTCCGGGTCAAGAAGAAGAAAAAAAGAAGAAGGAGCCCTTTTTTTCTTAATCTCTATCGGATGGATTAAAAGGTAGAAAGTACGAATAGTACGGGACGGAAATAACAATATAAATTCAATCGATATCTACGATATGGAATTATAAAAGCAATGAAATGTTGACAAACGAGAAAGAAAATTCTAAAGAAATAAACTATTGCATATAAGTAAAACAACAATAGTATTTTAGAGTTTTAATCAATACTATAAGCTAATATCAATGAAAAGTCTAATCTGTTAAAACTCGTTAAATTAGTTGAAACTAGCGCTATTAGATTCTGTTTTTCTCCCTCTCGTGGTTCCATAAAAAACAAAGGTCCTTTTGCAAGAAAGATCGAAGTAAGAGGAAAAGAAAGAAAGAAAGAAAGAAAGAAAGCTACTGCAAGCTTTCCGAAGAAAAAGGCTCTTTCTTTCAATTCGAATCGTCCAACTTAAAAGCTTACGGAAAATAATGCGGAAATTACAATCGGAATTCAAGCGGCGAGCATGAACATTGTATGAAAAGTTAGAAATATGCTAATTGGATGATGAAAACTAGTGAAACTGAAAACGATCCGAAAGACGATGAATTCAAATTCTTTTTCATTGAGTTTGATGAGCTTTGGGGGTAAAGACACGCTCCGTTGTATTTCATTCTTATCAAATAACTTTATAATTTGCAAACCTGTCCAATATAAATTCATAGAATTTTATCATTATGATATAAAACATACATGAGTACATTTCCTCATTGCGTTTCAACAAAAATGCTAAGAAAAGAACAAAAAAATGTTAACGCGTCACTCTCGACTTATTTTTCCGAATAACGTTTTCTCTTTCTACACGCTTTTCCACATTTTTGTTCGTTTGTATAAAGAAGAGAAGAAAACTTCGGAATTTAATATCACTGCTGTATTTTTTAGCCACTACCGAAGGTAGATATCTTGTTATCTCGCGAATGTAATATTTAACTTTTTAGCAAATGAAGTAAACTCGATCTCGATCATAAATTATGGCTACAGAATTTGATCAGAAAAATCTATTTCCCTTTCTTTATCTCTGATTTGTTTTTTCTAATGTTCGAATGACAAATTAACTTACAAAATAAATAATAATTTTGTTTCGTTACCGATTGATAAAAGAGCAAACTTCCCGGGGATAAAAATAAAGAAAAGAAAAAAGAAAAAAAAAGAAGAAGAAAATAAATTCTCATTTTAAAAGGAAGAAAGTAGAGCAGCGTTTGGACCGGTCGCGATGAGCATTGAAAAAGCTTAACGTTGATCGCGAAAGGACGTAAGGAAAATGTGGTTCGAGGATGCATTCGCGATGTTACTTGCTTTTGCATCCTCGAAGAGGTTGCACTTAGCGTCTTAGGTTGTTACTTTCTTCCTTGGATGAAGAAAGGAAGAGAAGATAGGTAAAGGTGATGCTGTCTGATGGTGCTGCTGAGAGCAAAAAAGGAAGAAAGAAAGAAAGAAAGAGAAAGAGAGAGAGAAAAATAGAAGAGCAAAGAAAAGAAAAAAAGAAATAGAAGTAGTAGAAGAAGAATAAGAAGAAGAGCGAGGTCGAGGTTTTAGCGAACATCTGCCAAGCAGGCTGATTTCCAGCCAACGATAAGACCTCGAAATGCAGTCGAGCCGTGCGTCGGGATATAACCGCGTTGGAATTCATTAGTTAACTCCGCGGAACGTTGGTGGTGGTGATGATGACGGGAGCCACCATTTTCAGAGACTCTTCTTTTCGTATCGCAGGCCCCGCTCGCGCGCTGCACTCGGAATAGCATCCTGTTCAAGAATTCAACGAACGCCGGCAGAAATTCACTGCTTTCAATGAGAAAACGGGAAAATGTTTTCTAAAAGGAAAATAAAGTTCCACCGACTCGCCGAGTTAAACGTGAAAATGTTTCAAATTGAGAAATCTACCTCTTGGATGAGCTTTTCCTCATATAATCACTCTGTCAACTCCGTTGATAAAACAAAACAAAAACGATCGGATGTTATCACCAATGATTTGTTCGCAATTTATTTTTTATCCAACAATTCGAATACATTTTCTAGCTGATTGCGATCGATCGATCCATCCTATTGCCATGCGAAATAACGTATATTTCTTATAATTTTGTATTACGTTTATATGATATTCTATCTTTCTCCCTTGTCAGTAATAATAAAGAAACGTACATATTCGTATTTCACGCTTCGGCGAAATGAAGTTTCCCCTAATCTAAATAGCTTCCGATTGATCTCCGCGAAATAACTAAATGGATTTATATGGATAAACACGGTCAGCAGTTAACATATTGATATCGTATGACTTATACGATATGCGTAATGTGTGTTTTCTACTAGGAATCGAATGACGCAAAAGTACGTAATTCAGGTTTTCATCTATTTACCTTGGGATTATAATCAAAAAACATTATAAAAGAATACGTACATTTTCGATTTTCGATTTTTGATTTTCGAGTTGACTATCTTGGGATTTCATATCGAAAAAAAACGATTTGACAACTATGACTACTTTATAATTTTATAGATCAAAAGAATTATATAGATAATTAATTAAATAATTAAAAAAATAATTATTTTTATATAAAACCTTTCTGAAAGTACATGTCCGATAATACCATTAAAAATTCGAGAGTAAATTACAAAAATTGAAGGAAAAAAGAAAATGACAAACGGAATTAGCTTGCGCGGTCACTTATCTCTAACTTACGATCGGTTACCTGAATCGTGCGATTATACCTACTACATCAATACGAAGCTCGCGAAGTAATGCGCGTTTGGTGGGTGCGACCGCGTGCCGCGAAAGAAGCTGAAACGCATGCGCCGAATCCTTTGGTAAATTTATCTCTCTTGCTCTCAATAAGTTTACCTTTGCATCTCGTTCGGATGACTTCGTCAGGAGCCACGAGCATCGTCGGGTATTCTCGGGTGCAGCGTTCGAATGGTGGGGATTTGAACGGACATGTTGTGTGCGTAGCGCTGGAGAGTGGGGTAGGTTGGTGGGGGAGTTGAGAGGCGGAGGGATGGTTCGTCGTGTTGGCGTAGTCATCGTCGCTACGTTATACTCCCGGCGTGTGAGAAAGAGAGAGAGTGTGAGTGGCGAGAAAGTGTAGGTGGATGGGAAGAGTGGGGAAGGTTTTACTAACACATAGAAACGGACGATGCCACTCGAGCGAATATCCCCGCTCCGATGTTCGCGGCAGTCCGACGCCGGTCGCGCAGCTAGCATGGCTGGATTTTCTCGCAGTTTTTCGCCGGTTCTCCCGTGGTAAAGAAAGAGAGAACGGAAGAGAGAGAGAGAGAGAGAGAGAAAGAGAGAGAAAGAGAGAGAGAGAAAGAGAGAGAAAGAGAGGTAGAGGTAGATAAACGAGACACGTAGTAGCAGCAGCAGCACAGAAACTCGCGTTGCATTCGATAACGCATTCCTTTGGTTTCGTCCTATTCAGTCGTATGTCGTACGTCCTGGTATCAAGACATTTGCTTTTTATTTTATCGTTCGAGATAAGCACAAGGAAAGAAAAAGAAAGAGAGACAGACAGATAGAAAAAGATAGTGAGAGAGAGAGAGAGAGAAAGAAAGAAAGAACGAACGAAGAAAGGAAGGAAAAGGAGGGAGAACACATAGGCGATCGAGTCGCGACGTGAGCCAGAACGGACGCCAGATGCTCGAACATAACCTCAAAAGTGAAACTCTGTAGTCAAGTCTCTTACCATTTTCTTACTCTAGCCACGAAAGTTCAATTAATTCATAATACACAAAAAAACTGATTTCTATGATCTCCTATCTCTCTTTACCACGCGACACGTGTTCCTTCTGCGTGCGTTCCAACCAATCGTTGCTCTTGTTGTTGTCTGATTCCTCGCGTTGAGTATAACTCGTCTTCATCATTTTCGTCGTCGTGGTCGTCGTCGTCGTTGTCGTCTGTCTCTCTTCACGCGCGTGTGTTATCACTGTGTCAACATAAGAGAAAGAAAGACAGAGATTTGGCTAATTGTCAACTTTAATCGCGTGTATGAAAATTTGGAAGAATAGATAAGCGATTTAAAGAGACTAATTGATACTAATTGAAAGAGATATATATGTATAAAAGAAAGGAAAACAAGTGTATCGTGTTGTTGTAAGTGATCAACAAAATAACAAAATTTGAAGCTAAAGAAAGCGCGCGCGAGAGAGAGAGAGAGAGAGAGAGAGAGATAAAAAATAAAATCGGAAAGAGAAGGAATCGCAAGGATCAACGTTGATCGTGTTTTCTTTTCTTCAGCCTGCTCATCCTCTTCCTTGTTGTTGGAGGAACGGTAAATCTTTGATGTCCGACAAACGGTAGAGGGAGTTTTTGAAGAACTCGTTTCGTGTTCAACGAATCACGCTGGAATCCTCCTCTCCCCGCAATCTCGTCTTTTTAGTTTCAAACGAGCTGTTTACGGTAAGTTTACACAGCTATTATACCTTTATATAATCTTTATTTATGTTTTTTTTTAGAACTTTTTTAGTCCTATTTACGTGTGTATTTTCTAGCCAGTTTATGGGAAGTAAGGATCGATAGTTTCTTTTTTATATTATTATTCTTTTTCTTATGTTCAGTTTTATTTATTATTTATCCGTTGCATATTCAATTTACGACAGGTTGCAGGAGAGAAGTTTTGTTGTTCTGCTGGAAGGTTTATCGCGTGACGTATTCGTGTGTAATGCATCCGTGTAACGCATCCGTGTAACGCATCCGTGTAACGCCATGCGTTCCTTCTAAAGTAAACAAACATCTCAATGCTGTGCTCTTTTATTTCTTGTTAATTTTATTTGCGATATATTTATATATACCCCAAGATAAGCGGAAAGTTATTCTATCTTCAACCCCCTCGACAATTTGAAATTGAATATACAATTTTGTTCGATAACTTTTATTTTGGGTAAGAAATATTTTTAAAAGTTATTCTTCTACTGGATCTATTTTGCTTCTATTGGTTTTTTATAATTGTTTTCTCTTGTTTTATTTTTGATTTATTTTATAGCGAATTTTATTTTTAATAAGTAGTTTGGGTGTTTTATGTCATATATTTTATTGTAAGATCAAAGTAGCAATGTGGATTGGTAATTGTAATAATTGTATATTGTAAGAATTGATATTTTTTTTACAAAATAAAGATCAACAAATTATACAATTTGTATTATGTTTAACCCTCTGTTACTTTAAAATCAAATACTCGTTTACCTATATTTTTTTTTAATTTTATTTTATGCATTTATTTCAAAAGTATTTCAATTATTTTGTATTTCAATGTTAATATTTGCCAAATTCAAGTTATACTCACAATCAACTTCATATAATTATACTATAATGTTAACTATATTATCAATTTTACTCAACGTATTATACGTCTTTTATATAAGTTGAATAATTGTTTTGCTTGTTTTAAATGTCTGCGTAATTTGGCCTAATTCTTTTTTATCTTTGATGATTCATCATCTACTTATAATTTTGTCTATCTCTCTCTCTCTCTCTCTCTCTCTCTCCCATTTTTTTTCCACTTGTTTGTTTCTTCTCAGCTATGAAATGTTTTTTCATTCTTATATCGTAATCCTATACTCGGCGTTTCTACTATGTTCTTCTTTTTTTAACGTATAAACGCCTTAGGATGTTTCTCTGGAATCCCTTTTCTACCTTGATTAAAAAGTTCGTTCATCCTAATTAAGCGTGTAACAGAGAAGAATCTTGTTTCGCGGACACGTTACTGGAATGAGAAAGACAAAAGGGGATTATTCTCTTACTATGATCTAGAATTAAATACAACTTCCAAGTTAAATGCAATTTATTTTTTCGATCAATCCTATAGTTCAAATTCATTGATGTAATACTTCCAACCTAACAAAAAAGAATTAATTTTATATATAATTTTCATCCTTCTATTCGAATAACAATATTGAATTATAGTTTATTATAAAAATACAATGAAATTATATAGAAAATTACCAACCTTAAAGATGGCAATAAAATTAGTTACTCAAATTAACACAGATCACGTTATTTTACTAATCATTTCTTAACCATAAACTCATAAATTAAAATACAAATTTCTAATAATATTAATTATGCAATTCGCTGAATAAATCGTTAAAAAACATTATGAAACAACAGGACAAAATAAATTATAATAATTTTATTTTCTATATTTTGTTTCTTTTTTTAAATGAAATCTTTAAATTAAATTAATTTTAAATCATTAGAGGTAATTGTTTCCGTACAACTTAGCTCAATTAATTCTTGTGACAGAACGAATATTATATTTTCGACATGAAACTCGATCGTTCTTTCGAAGAAAATGTTACGTAGAAAAGTTCTATTATTGTAGAAACAAGATAACCCTACGTGTCCTATAGAATGACGTGGCGGAGAAGGCTTCGTCAAGAAGGGCTCGATCCAGGAAGAGTAATTTTACAGCGCGCAAAAGCGAGCCGGTCGATACTAAAACGTGAGACGGACTACGATGTTTCGCAAGCTTTTATTCTATTTTTCTTTATTTCAATCTTCTTCTAAGCAAATCTTCCTAAAGGAAATTACATTTATCGGTTCTCAAATTTCAGGCAATACGAAACATCGGAAAAAAATTTGTTTTCTTATTTAAAAAACAATCAACATTTAACTAGACAAATGATTTTAAAACCTTTCAGTTAATAAAAAAGTAATTGTTATTATTTTCCATGCTTAAAATCCGCGCGTGCGCGAATAACACAAAAAATAATTTTTTTCAAAAATGCCAAACGCAAATTTATGATTGGAAATACAATTCTGTAACATTACATTTTTTCAATATTCGGTGTATATACAATATATTTTACTAGAATATAATTATTCTATTTAAAATATAGTTTAAATATAGTTTAAGAATATAAACATATAAATTGTAATAATAAAATAAATACGATATTATAAAAAAAAAAGAAAAGAAAAAGATACTTCAGTAGTATAACTTGAAAGTTAAATGACGTTATAGAGGGTTAACAATAAATTTCTGCCATCGTGTTAAAGAATAAGAGAAAAGAAGATCAAGAAAGAGAGGAAGAGAGAAAGAGAGAAAGAGAGAAAACGAATGGAGCCGCGCGAATTAATTATTTCTCTGATCGTTTCTTGACTTCCGAACGAGTTCCAAGGCAAGTTGGAAAGTCGTGCCGAGCATTTACGATTTCTTCCTCCGAGTTCGCGGAAGAAGTTGGTAAGGAAAAACTCGTAAGACCGTAATACCGAGGGACGAACCGGTCGATCGTTCTTGATCATCCTCGAATGACGGAGCGAAACTAAACGACGAGTACGCGACTAGTAGTTATCATCATCTGTTACGAGACAATTGCTTTCAGCTCAGGTTTTAATCAACCGGATATCCTAGTATTCCTTATCTTCTTGGAAATGGAATATTCTCTGAATCTTATTGTTCTAACGTTTATTAACTGTTTCATTGTTAATAGTATTCAATTACGATCTGGACAGTATTCAATTTAATAAGCTCACGGTATTGTATCTATTAACAATAAGATGATTTCAATAACCATGTCGATAATTTTACAAATTTCAAATCATTTATTTTATCACAAATTATATACATATTCTATACATTTTGTCACAAAAATCTTCCACTTAGTTTATTCTCATAATTAGTTGCATATTTGATGATAACATTTTTACGTGGTTATGCATTAGTATTTGTAATCTAAGTCCTATTACTATACAGATTTATCGTTCAGTCTGTGTACGAATTCTACCATCGAAGTTTTTACTAAATTTTGTTATACCTTGAAACAATGAGAAACTATTCGCTACTCTTCTTTGATGCAAATGTAAGTAGTAGTCGCCATTGTGGAACGATAAACGAATGATAAATACAAAATTACGAGTGGTAAAATAAATATAATAGAAAAATACCATTGTATCGATTTATTCTTATAATAAATATAATACAAATGTAGATATTCTCGTGATAATGAATATTCTTCGAACAAAGAATTGTATTTTGATCTCGTTTCGGAAAGAACTTTTGTATTCCAGAGGGAGAGAAGGTGGTTGGCGTAGTCACGAACGATCGTGCCGATTCGTTGGCTGATTCGAGCCGATGCTTCGTTAACGGGTTAAATTGGATTTCCTCGATTGTCGCTATAACGACAGTTCCCGCGGTGACGTTTAATTAGATCCTAGTAGAGTCGTGTGGAAGAAGGTGGTCTCTCCTAAAAAACAAAGTGCCTTTAGAATGACAATTTACAATCTATCAGAAATAGATCATAAAGAAAGAGAGAACAAATTCTTATTTCATATTAATCAATTTACGAATTTACCTACAATTTTGTCTATAGTTAAGTAGCTACAAACAAATCACAAGAAAAATTACTCTAATTTTAGATCGTCATAATCGATAACGCATTGGTTAAGAATATTAGTACGAGAAACAATAGCTTCCAACTTCTGTTACTTTCTTTTCTGTGTGTGTGTTCGTTTCGTTTTTAAATTATAAATGCAAATGATGGGATAGCGTTGAAAAGGTAGATAAAAAATCGTTACGAGCTTGCTCTTTGAACAAGCGTGTGTTAGCGTCATAAATAAAGGTAGTAGGTACTACTCGCGAACATAGAAAACACGTTAGTTCGTGTTGCTCGCTGTCCGCTTATATGCGCCAGAGAATCGCGTAACGAGCGATTTTATTTTACCGTATATGTCTTCGTTTCTCTTTATAAACGAGTAAATAAGTATATACAGAGAGATAGAGATAAAGCGAGAGAGATGAGGGATAGGGTTTGACTGTTCGACGAAATAACGTATGCATAATACAAAATGTGCGTGAATCTCGTTCATAAAACGCGTTAAGTCATCAACGCGAGAGACTCGTTAATCGTTCACACCACGAAGAAACTCGTAATCGAAATGATTAAGCGTACCGTTTATGCATACCATACGATTACCTGGTACTTTTATTAAACGATTACGCGGCATCCTACATCCTGATTAATATAAATTTCATTACCCATCTTTTTTTTTCTTTTTTCTTCTTTTACTTTATGGCTTAACCATAACGAGAATTTTAACGACCCGATGAACGCACAAAATTTAACCGAAGGATAAGTAGGTGGTATTAAAATGTGTAAGAAGTTTTTTAAAACCTTTTTGTTCTGGTTACTTCCTTTGTTTTTTTTTCATCATAACGAGGTATCAATTATAATTCGCGAATTATGTTTCGCGATAGAGAAAATATCTTATTAAAAAGAATTTGCTTGCTGACCAAGACGACGACAAAGACGTGATAGAGGAGGAGGAGGAGGAGAAGGAAAAAAGGAAGAGGTGGAAAGGGGAATGGGGAGAAAGAAATCGCCGTAGGTGTCTCCCAAAGCTTCTTTTATGGCTCGTAAAGCAAACGTTGCTCGTATGTAAATAAGTGTTCTACAACGGTGTTACAAAAAAGCCCCATCGTTTACCTTATGCGTTGCAACTCATATTCCAAGATGGTCAAGCTGCAATCTAATTATCAAGCTTAACGAGTACCGCAGCGTATGATTACTTTTAAACGCGAATTTGTAAATAAATTATCGATGTTACATTTCAAACACTATTTCGTTTATTTAAATAATTAAGATAATTTACGTAATCAGAACAGTAATTATTTTCTAATTTGCTATCGTTTGCAGGACTTTTTTTTGCTAATGGTTTATCATTATATCGTTATATCATTTATGTATTAATTGATCGAAATAATTATTATGATTATTACGATTAATCTAATAAAATTGTTGAGATAAAGAAGATGCATCGCGTAGAATAGATTTTCTAATAAGCATCATGTTGTTTTTCAGAGGATGTAAATAAGGCTTTGTACTGTCTATCAAATTATCTTCCGATGTTATTTTTGCTATAAATCGATTGGAAAATTTTACATGTTCAAAACAGTTTTCATTTTTTATTTGATATTCGT